TAAAAATCAGCATCATAATCATGAAACAATGGCTACATTAAGTAGCTGCAATGCTTATCTCATTTAATTCTTATAGTATACTCTCTTCTAGGATAATGACATAACAAATGAGGAAACTGAGGATCAAAAAAAACCAAGTGACTATTTGATGTGACCCTCTGCTGTGTAGAAATGTTTGTGTACCTCCAAATCTGTAAGTTGATATCCTAAAAACTGAAGTGATGGTATTAAGAGGTGAGGCCTTTGGGAAGTAATTAGGTCATATGTGTGGAGCCCTCACGAATGTGATTAGTGCCCTTGTGAAATGACTCCAGAGAGATCTTTTGCCCATTCCTTCTGCCATTCAAAGATAAAATGATAAGTCTGCAATCAGAAGAGGGCCCTCATCCAACCATGGGGAACCCTGACCTCTGGCTTCCAGCCTCTACAACTATGATCAACACATTTCCGCTGATAAGCCACCCAGTCCGCAGCCCAGGTGAACTAAGATACCCCTCTACCAAAACTAGTAAATGTGTCTACATAAGTAGAAAGTCCTAGTCATTTAGTCCCAAACCCAGATAGTACCTGGCACACTGAGGTGCTATTAAATGCTTATTGAATGAATGACTCAGTTTGCTTTGTTACATTAGAAGTTCATAGTGCACAGCCTCAAATTGAAAAACCTTAGCCACTTCACTACAATATCATCATCCTTAGATGATGGCTGTTAGGAACTTTGAATAAGAAAATAACAACTGACTAAGTCTCCAACTAATCTACTTTTATACACTGACACTGTCTTTGTATATAACAACCCACATGCTGCCACCATGACAACACACTGTCTTTATTAGTCTCATATAGACCATCAGAAAATACATTATTAGACTTTCTTAAAATCTCTCAAACAAGCAGCATCTGGCCTCGTCATGACATGTACCTCTTGCTAAGTGGCCTTAGGCCCTGGCACTAGTGGCAGCCAGCCTGGTTTTGCAGCTCGGTCTCTCCCGGGAACCTCTAAGCCTAGCTCAAGTAGCAGCCATCTGTAGGTCACTTTATAGCTCATGTTGTTAGGCCCTGGGCAGGATACAGGTGGCAGCTGACCTTGGTCTGTACCTCCTGAGAGGACTCAGAGCCAGCACACCTGGTGTACATCTTCAAACCATGTTTAAGTGCCACCTAATCACCTCCACAAGTGACACACTCAAGGGGGAAGACTCAGTGGGCATCAGAGGTCCACTGAAGTAAGTCCTGCTCCATGGGGTGGGCCCATGCACAGCTGATCCTCCAAGGTAGTCCCTGCCAGTTCTTTCAGCTTATCAGCCTGGGGGTGAACTCCTCCCATTGACATACTGAAAGCAATCAAAGCTAACCTACAACAAGAGGCTGTACACAGCATGCAGAAGGGAGTACACCTGGATTGCCCAGTCCAGGTGAACAGGAAGGTAGTGTCACTGGACCCTACAAGACACCTAGTACATTAGACAACTCCACCAAGACTGGGAGACATAGCAGCTCTACCTGATACATAGAAACAAACACAGAGAAGCAACCAAAATGAGGAGGCAAAAAAACAGACCCCAAGTAACAAAAAAAGGGGACTAAATAAAATGGAGGCAAGCAAACTAACACATACAGAGTCCAAAAAAATGGTTGTAATGTTGCTCGAGGAACTTAGTGAGAACTTCAGTAGAAAAAAAAAACATGACAATCATTAAAAAGAGCAGTCAAAAATAAAGAATGAACTAACTGAAATTAAGAATAATTTACAAGGAATCAACAGTAGAGGAGATAAAGCTGAAATCAAATCAGTGATTTGAAAATAAAACACTCAATCAAAATAGCAAAAAGAAAAAAAAATCCAAAAGAAATGAGGATACTGTAAAGAGCCTCTGGGACAACTTCAGATGTACCAGCATCACATCGTGGGGGTGCCAGAAGAGGAAGAGAGCAAGAAATTGAAAATCTATATGAAAAAATGACAGAAGATTTTTCTAACTTGGTGAAGGAAATAATACACAAGTCCAGGAAGTGCAGAGTTCCAAACAAGATGAACCCAAAGAGGCCCACACCAAGACACATCATAATTAGAAGACAAATAGAGAATCTTAAAAGCAGCAAGAGAAAAGCAGTTAGTTACCTACAAGGGAGCTCCCATAAGACTGTCAGCTGATTTCTCAAAAGAAACTTTGCTGGCAATAAGAGTTTGGCAAAAAGTATTGAAAGTGATGAAGAGCAAGGACCTACAACCAAGATTACTCTACCCAGAAAAGCCATCATTTAGAATTGAAGAACATATAAAGAGCTTCCCAGACAAGAAAAAGCTAAAGGAGTTCATCACCACCAAACCTTACACGAAATCTTAAAAAGTATTTTTTTAAGAAGAAGAAGAAAGAGAAAGATTAAAAAATATGAACAATAAAAAGACATAAAATACACATCTATCAGCAATTTAATTTAAATAACAAAATAACCAAGCAGAACAGAAACAGACTCATAGAAACAGAGAACATTTTGATAGCTGCCAGATGGGAAGGGTTGTTGTGGATACAGGTGAAAAAGGTGAAGGGATTAAGAAGTACAAATTGGTAGTTGCAGAATGGCCTTGGGAATGCAAAGCACAGCATAGGGAATACAATCAATAATATTCTAATAACTATTATGGTGTCAGATGGTGTGAGATTTATGGGGATGTTCACTTAATAAGTTATATAATGTCTAATCACTAAGTATATGCCTGAAATTAATATAATATTTTATGTCAACTCTAATTGAAAAATACATAATAAAATTAAAAAATAAATACTTTATAAATGGAATATTCAGTATTATTCTACCCAATTTTGCCTTCTTGATATAAAATCAGAGGTAATGAACAACATATTAAAAAATTTAAACTCAGAGTATGATGTGTTTATGAAGTTTTTATTTAATAGTTCATAGTCATGTGAGACCTGTCATGAGTCTTTAACATTTAGAAGTTATTTTGTTTCTTTAATAAGTAGCAAATAACCTTCTATCTGGCAGGTATAAAATTAGGTGCCAGAAAAACACATACATGAAAACAAAACCAGCTTTGCTTCCCTCAGAACTCCAGCACAACACCTACCACATGCACATGTATGACACATGAATCTGTAAATTTAAAATTAGAGACAATTTGATCAGGTAATGTTACCTTCACTTTTCCCAACACAAACACAACCAATTATCAATGTCGTCTTATACTTGAAGTTTTAGATTTTACTCTGGGAGTCTCATCTTGTCATAACATCAGAAGGTTTAGAACTTCTCAGGTGACAAGATAGCTAAATTAGGAAAAAAAGTGACAGCACATTAATTTCAATCAGAAGGTTGTCTTCTTGTTATGTTTCAAAATATATTTGGTAAAGAGGCATTTTCCTTTACCCCAGGCAATAAAATGTGCTTCGGGAAAGTTTTCAGAAAATAAAAAAACTACCTTATTTCATTATATTTTATATTTAGTGTTAGTGATCATCTCTCAGAGTTTTCTAAGGATAGAAAGGGTGTATAGAACTGTTTGGGTTAATAATCATAAGAAGAGGAATATTGAGCACTTAGTATGTGTTAGGCATTGTGACCCATCTGTCTACATTCATTTTCTCATGTAATCTTTACAATAACATTGTAAAGGTATGTGCTGTCATTTTAAAGAGGAACCTGGTGTATAAAGTAACTTGGAGCTTAAGTAACTTGTTTGGTTCCTAAATGGTGGAGGCAAAACAGAGAACATCCTTTGTCAGTAAAAGGTTCATTTTCATTTGTCCTCAAGGTAACTCTCACATAGACCATTCCTGGTAGAGCAAATATTTTAGTAAGTGAAGACATTTCTAGTCTTCTGCTGTAGATCTTGGGTTATTAACTGCTCTTTTGTTACTTCCTCTCACTTCATATAACCAAAATATCTCCAGCCAGACTCTGGCAACTAGAACACTATCCCTGAGGTCACAGTAATGTTGATGTTTCCGCTCAGACCATCCCCTCCAGAGCCCTGTTCTGCATCCCCGACTCCCAGCACACGCTGCTGGCTCCAGGTGGCAGTGATGGGCACCTTGTTACTAAGACCATTAACAGTGAGCATGGCTGTGGCTGGGAGAGGAAACTCTCAGTCTGGGGTGAAATCACAATGCACACTGGACACTAAAGCGACAGGAAGAACTCAGAGTGTAACTGTGAAAGGCACCATTTTTATTTCCTTAGAGACCCTGTGGTGTTGAAAGCTCATTGAAATATTTTATTCTCACCTTTCCATGAGAGGTATTATTCTTAATGTGGAAAACAGGAGGAAAACCCCCCTGAAACAAAAACCTGAAAGGTAATAGAAAAAATTGGGTTTCACCCAGAGTCCTGTGAATCGGTCATGAAGAAAAATTAGTTTCTTTTTTTTTTTTTTTTTAATGTTTGTTTTATTTATTTATTTATTTTTTTAATAACTTTATTTGGTTACTTTTCAAGCACATTTTTTTTTCCCTCTTCCCCCTAGTTTCTTTTTTAAGAAAGAAAGATAGAAAGAAAGAACAAAAGGAAAAAAAACAAAGCTCATCTGGATTTTGGACTTAGTGGGTAAACTTCCCAACTGCTGGCTACTGAGAAGCACCTCAGGTGAGCATCCAGTGTTTGACCCTGCACTAGAGAGGGGCCCGATTGTTCAGATCTGTGGTGGCTGCAGACACAAGGAGGCTGTTCTGTCAGATTCACCAGGGTTGATTAAAATAGGGTCCTGATTTCAAGACACATGATTGGATGGCCTAGACCTGGGTTTCTCATCCTTGGCGTTTTGGGGCTGGTAACTGTCGCGAGCACTGTCCTGTGCTGGTGGGGTGCTCAGCAGCATTTCTGATGTCTGCCCACAAGGTTCCCTCCCTGGATCGTGACCATCAAAAATGTCTCCAAACACTGCCAAGTGTCCCAGTGTAAATGGGTAGTTGACACAAATTAATACCAAATAGAGATTAGACTTTTCATAGTTGAAAATTACATATACTCTAAATCACAACCTCCCTCCTTCCCGGGGGGACACTGCTCACTTGCATTACTGCCTGAGTTCAGCCTCCCCAGCCCGACCCTGGTCAGTGGAAAAATTGTCTTTCACCAAATCTCTGGTGCCAAAAAGGTTCCTGACCACTGCTCTGAATTACCATTATCTGAATTGTCCAAAGACAAATGGTGCTGGTGACAACTACAAAAGGCCTAGAGTTTTGTGTTGTTTGCCAGGGAACACAAGGGCAGAGCGGAGGAGAAGAAAGGAACAGCAGATAAATTAACGAGGCCAACCTGGTCACGTCAGGGGGACGTGCAGACACAAATTAAACAGGTCTCATCTTTGAACCATTGAATAAAAACAAACATTTTGTATTTGCGCATAAACGTTTAAACTGATTCCATGAACACATAGAATGGCTTTCTTTTCATTTCTTTACGTCTTTTGTTATTAGTTTGCCTTTTTCCTCATACCCAGGTGTCCTTGTACCCATGAACCCTCCTGATCAGCACTGACATCTCTGTCACATAATCAATAACCAAATGTGGATAGATCTGCTCTTGGGGTATCTCTTCTCTTCCATTTGTTTTTTTCTTGTCACCTTGTCTTAACTATTACAGTTTTATAATAAGTCTCGATATGGCTATGTCTTGATTTAATGCTGTACTGTTTTTAGCATTCTTGGCCCTTTTTTCTTCATGTAGCTTGTAAGCCTGTAAATTGGCATTTTTATTGGAATTATCTTTAATGTATACATTAATCTGGGAGAAGCATTATATTTTAATTGCATAAACATATACCTTTCTCTACATATTTAGCTCTTTTTAAACTTTCTGTAAAGTTTATAATTTTTGCCACAAGTCATGCACATATTTTATTAGGTTTACTTCTAAATTCTGTGTATTTTAAAGTATACATTTTCTAATTCTTAGTTACTAGCATGGGAAAATGCAATTGTTTTTTGTACATTGTTCTGTCTTGCTGAGCTCTCTGCTTAGATCCCATGTTACCTATAGATTTCCTTGGGTTTCCTATGCAGACAACCATGATATCTACACTCATACTGGTACCACTCATTTATCACGTGAGGGTCTGTGATGTTGTACTTAGCCAAGGTCACGCAATGTGAGAGTGAGCGGGAAAGCTGAGTTCAAAGCCAGATCTGTGGTACCTCAGAGCCTGTGTTCTTCAACCATGCATTTCTGCTGCCTTTTTATTACCCCTTTCTCAGCTTTTTGTTTGACTGATTTTTTTTCAATGCCTATATATTTTTATTTGTTTTGTAGTTTTTTCTTTTTTAAATTCTTACATATTTCTTCCTTCAATAGCTAAGACTTTCAGCAGTAGCTTTGACTTGAATTGAAATATTAAGTAAAAGCAATACAGTAGACATTTTGATTTGTTCTGGATTTTAAAACGATGTTTCTACAATTTCTACAATCAGGTATACTAATGATTGCAGATCAATATATATACTCTTTACTACTTTAATAAAGTCTTTTCTATGCAAAAATTGCTAAAGTATTTTACCATTAATAAAAAATAAATTATTCCAGTACTTTCTTTTCTGCATGTACTTAGATGTTTTCCCCCTCCAAACTATTATTATGATGACTTACATTACTGGCTGTGCTGAATTACAATAAAAGATTTGAGCCTTTATTTTTCTTATTTACACAGTGCAGAAGATAATCTTCATGTAGTAGGTTTTGGTGAGGATTAAATTAGATCTATCAAAAATTGGCACAGATAAAGGCCATGCTCATCAGATCTTCTTTTTGCTACACCAGATCCACTGTCCACTCAGGCTTTGAGCCCTGGGATCACATTATTGCTAGACAGCATTCTGGCTTCTGTCTCTATTTAAGTTCAGCCAGTAGGAGGTGGCAGCAAGCCATTGAAGAACTGCAGGAGGGAGAAGTAGTACTGTGGATTTCCTCAGCCACCCCCTTGGCGGGTAGCACCGGGTTGCCTGCCTCCCTCTGCTGAAAATCTCACTTTTTATCACAAGGCCCGTTCCAGACAGTTGTCAGATCCAGATTCTGCTAAGATATGGTTATGGATGGTTTGAAAGCAAGTATTTCTGTTCAGGGGAACATGTACTCATTGTCCTGAGTGATTTAAATGACTGGATTAATAATCATTATCTCAGATGGTATCAAACTGTTTTTGTATGATCAGAAATTTGGACTCCTTGCAGCTTTTAAACAAAGCCCAGCACAGTGCTTTGAAGTGTTACAAAGGCTCTGTAACATTTGTTTTGCCCAAAAGAAAAAAATAAGGATGGTTAGGAAAGGGTTTTGGGGATAGAAATTTGAATCATTTTCATAGTTTTCAAGTTCACTGTGCTCTGCAAACCCATATCACCTCCAATCTGTGATATTCTAATGGAAATTATCTAGCATGAGTCAGATCTGAAAAGCAAAGGTGTGGGAAATTATTTCATGTATCAAAAGGCACCACATTTACTCTAATTTTCCTGTTGGCTGTGCCGACCGTCTTTCTCATTTTGGAATGTCTTCCATAATTTTGTAAAAGGTCATGGACTGACATAATGGGTCTGGTAGAGGTTCAGTGCAAACTGAAAAATTGTTCAATAACCATCGCAGTGGGAAAGCTGTACCAATCCTTTGTTTGATGATGTTTCTGAGAATTATCCCAGAATAAACAAAGAATTTTAGGTGCATTTTAAAATCCAAGGTGCTAGAGGCTATGGTTTTCCAGTTCTTTTTCGGAGGTTAAACGATTACCTCTGGAAAAGGATCATTGAAAATGGTAACCCACTGGTCTATCTTTTCCTTGGCATTTCACATTCTGTTTCACCCACACAGGTATGATACTGAGTCCTATCTGAAGAGAAAGGTAATAAATCTTACTGAATTTGATTACTTATAAAAATATTTAAGATGCATAATTTCAAAATAGACAGTCCTAAATATAGTCTCACAGTATTGAATCTCTGCATCGTTCATCTTCCTCACCCGTAACAGTAAAGGACATTGACTTGTGTTTAACAAAGTTTATAGAAAGTCTAATAATTATATGAAAATAGACCAAATAGAAAAAGAATGTAGAGAGCTTCTGGACTGGCTCATTTAAAATCCTCCCAACACCATTCTATTGTGCCTTCTTGGGCTGAAACACTAGCAAGGGCATGTATTACATCTCCCGGTCTCTCAAAGGTAGAGTTCCAGGTGTAAGCCAAGTGTTACCATCCAGGGATGCTGTCTCTCAGAACGGAGTTACGTGAAGGGAAAGACAGCACTGGGGGCACTTGTTTTGCCAGTGGAGGTCGTGGCAGAGGCCACATGTTTGTGTCATCAGCTGCGACAGAGACTTCCTGATCTGACAGCTTCCTGTTGTGGAAGGAGCAGCAGCTCCTAGAAGCTCAGCCCATTTCTGCAGCCCTGCCAACGATTCCATGAGCTGCCTCTACCCCTTGAAAAGTCTCTGTCTTACATTAGGAAAAGGGATTCTGTTGCCCACCTAAAGACCCTACCTAAGACAGTTGAATATTAGATCATTGCATTCTTAATAGAGCTGAAATTTACAATGACAGGAAAAGAATATGGCCTTTGAAATGCGGTTTTCAATATGGTTGATTTCCTTAGTTTGCACTAGACAGTGTGCAAAGCCCTTGGAGTACAGCTCCCGGGAAATTCTCCGAGTGAGCCTGTAAACACAGGTATAGGAAGCATGATGACCAGAGAGAGGGCGAGGAGAGGCTGACTGGTAAAAACAACCGAATAGTAAACATGACTGGAAGAGCGACATATAAAGCTTGTTGTTCTCTGAAGCCTGACATTATTTGAAATCAGACAATTTAGGAAGGGAGAAAGGAGATGGGAAGGAAAAGAGGGAAAAAAAGAAAGAGGAAGAACATCTGACACTTCATAATATTATTTCTCCTGCATGATATAGAAACATTATCTTCTTTGAAATGTCATCACAATATATCAAATATGTGGAGAACATCAATCCCATTTCAGAGGTGAGAAAATCGAGGGTCAGTGCCTGGGATTTGAAACCACATCCATCAACCCCAGACCTTACACTGTTTTCAACTCAGTCTAGTGTGAGGGGACCAGGGCGAGAGTTGCTCAGATTTCTGCTTGTCTTTGCAAAGTTCTGAGCTGAACGCCCAGTCTAGAGCATTTTTCCTTTGGACTCTAATTAGAACTTTATGATATTTTCTGCTACACAAATTCAAAATTTTATACTTTGGACATTTACTGAATATATTTGAAATGAGGACATGAATGTTTCCAGATGTTTCTTCTCACTCCTGAAAACTTTGCTGATTTGGCCTGATAGCTCCTAGAAATAGCTCTGCGGGGCTAGGGAAGTGCAGCGTCAGGAGCCATACGCCTGCCAGAGTGAACCCTGAGAGGTTTAATCCAAACGACCCTGTAGATGAATAAACTTTTCAGTATATGCTTCATCGCCAATAGAGTTTACTTTATTTGTTTGATAACTGCTTCTAATGATCTAACATAACACATTACATGGGTAAGAAAATGCTTAATAATATGAGACTTCATTGCTACTTCAGATCAAAGAAGAAGAATGTATATGTATTTGTTGGGCATTTGGGTGTGTGTGTTGCAAAGATTCACTCCAAAAAAGCTAAAATTTTAGCTGTAAAAAGAGATTAAATTGCATGTGTAATGTGAAAAGATTCTTTGGTTAGTAAATATTGCCATTCTCAGCCCTGAAACAAGCAATCGCTACAATTTATTTCAGGTTGAATTACTTACTAAAGCTGCCTCACCTGGGTATCCTTTTGTCAAGGACCTATTGTATGTTCATCTAGCGCCCCCTTGTGTAATAACTTTTAATAACAAAGTTCAGGAGTCAGTGTTTGTATACTGTGCTAAGTTTTGGTATCTAATTCTAAAGGAATATAGTCAGTAGATAGTGGCATTGTTTTCTCTTCTTTGTGGAGCTTTTTGGCATTTCAAAAGTCATATATAATAAAAGCTATTAAAAGGGGAGATACAGGACATTTCTTAATAAAATCTAAATCACTCTCAGGAGGCAAAGGAAAAATAATTTTGTAAAACGGGTCAATTAGTTCTCATAGAATCTTGGCATATTATGGCACCAAGAAAATGTGGCTATATTATGAGAGCGGGGTGTGGCCGGCCCTTGGTCCCAGTGTGCAAACGCTGCTGTCACCACCCGGGGCTGGCACAGGCAAAGAGCATTGCTGGTGCTCCCCACAAAGCATTATTTCCTGACAACTTTGTTAAAGTGTGATACAAAGCACGGAACACAAAATCTAAGTTCTTAGCCATTTTTACGTGCACAGTACAGTAGTGTTAACTCTATGCACACGTGTCCTACAGATATCTAGAACTTTCTCATCTTGCAAACTGAAACCCTGTAGCCACTGAACAAAGTCTCCTTTTCCCCTCCCTGACAACCTTTCCTTTTTTCAGGAAATCCCTTGTGAAAAGACAGAAGCGGCCTGACTCCAATCAAAGGCAGGGGGAGTGGCGCCCTGCCCACTGGACCCTCCTCTGGGTAGGTGTGTGAGCCCGTGGGCTTCTCAGGACCTTGGTTTGACACGATATTTACAGACTTTGTTCCTCCCCACTGTCAAGAGTTGAATTGCGTTGTGTTGTAGCCTGTCAAGCCCTGGCAGGTCCACTCTCGATTCAGGGACATGGGAAGAAAATGTGCGGAGCCATGGGGATGCTTGACAGGCCTTTATTCCCGAGTGGGTAAACTATGCACGCTGCAAGCTGTGTGTCCCTAGTGAGAAGCCCCTACTGGTTTAAGTACTGGAGGCAAACAAAGCCAGACTCAGGCCAGAAAATTATATAATGTAGTATAATCCAGCTCATTTGAGCCTACTTCATGTCACGGGAACAGTTTATCAGACCCAGTCTCAAGGCTGTGAGAACACTACTTACCAGGCCCATTCAAGTTTATGGGAACACTGCTTCCCTTAGTTACCCAGACTCATGGGTGAGGAAGCTAGACTGCCTCCACTTACCCTACGTGTGTCCTTTCTCCCAACCCCCAAATGTACAAGTTGCCGTCCTAACTCCCAGTACCTCAGAATGTGACCCTATTTGTAGATAGATTTTTACAGAGATAATCAGATTAAAATGAGGTCACTAGGGTAGGCTCTCATGCAACAGGACTGGGGTCCTTACAGAAAGAGGAAATTTGTGAAGATAATGTCAGAGATTGGAGTGATACCTCTGTGGGCTAAGGAACACCAGAGGATGCTGGTAAACCACCAGCAGCAAGAGAGCAAGGGGAGAGGCCTGAAACAGACTCTCTCAGGGTCCTCAGAGGGGCCCAACCCTGATGATTCATCTTGGACTTCTAGCCTCCAGAACTGGGAGAGAACAAATTCTCTTGTTGAAGCCCCCTAGCACGCTAATGTCCCGAGTTTGCCACCGGTGGCACTGTGGATTGTTACTGTGGCCGAAGTGGCAAAGCCAACACAGACTTAGGGTCTAGGCTCACACATCAAAAACCCAGAGATGTGAAAATCTTGTATTATAATGTAATGAAATATTCTATTGCGGAAAATAATTAACTCAGTGAAAATGTGTCATCTAATTCCCTGTGAAGGGGTTCAGAATGTGCTGCTCCCAAATATGCCTCTTTGATGTAAGGAATATCTTGAGCTGGTTATTTTTAAGAAATAGCAGACCCAAGAGAAGCTCTGGAAAGCAAGTAGAAATCACTCTTTCGTAGGGGACACTTACATTTACAGCAGTCCCCCCTCATCCCTAGGGGTACATTGCAAGACCCCAGTGGATGCCTAAGGCCACAAATCAGTGAACCATATATATACACACACACACACATATATACACACGTATATGTATATGTATGTATATACACACATATACATATATACACATATATTACATTTTTTCTGTATATATACCTATGATAAATTTTAATCTATAAGCTAGGCACTATAAGAGATTAATAACAACTACAATAGAATAGTTATAACAGTATACTTCTATGAAAGTTTTGTGAATGGCTTTGGGACTATTATTAAGCAAAACAAAGGTAACAGGAACATAAGACCGCAATTCTGCAACAGCTGACCTGATACCCCGGTGGCTAAGTGACAAATGGCGTGGAGAAGTGGAACGAAGGCATATTTCATGTCCCAGGTAGGAGGGCGTGAAAAGGCATGAGATTTCATCATACCACTCAGAACATTGTAAAATTTAAAAGTTATACATTGCTTATTTATGGAATTTTTTGTTTAATCTTTTTGGACCATGGTTGGCCACAGGTAACTAAAACTGTGCAAAGTGACACTGCGAATGGGAAGGAGCCACTGTATAAGAAAAACCTTCATTTCTAAAAATGTTATTTTTCAATTACAGTTGACACTCAGTATTATTTTAAATTAGTTTCAAGTGTATAGCATAGTGGTTAGAAAATTATGTAATTTATGACATGATCCCTGATAATTATCATACCCACCTGTAATAGTACCATACGTAATTATTATAATGTCATTGACTACATCCCTATGCTGTCCTTTGCACCCCTGTGACTCTCCTGTAACTGCCCATTTGTACTTCTCAATCCCTTCACCTTTCTCACCGAGCCCCCGAGCCCCCTCTCACCTGGCAACCCTCAGTTTGTTTTCTGTATCTATGAGTCTTTCAATTTTGTTAATTTTGTTCTTCAGATTCATCGTATAAGGGAAATCATATGTTGTTTGTCTTTGTCTGACTTATTTCACTTAACATAATACCCCTGAAGTCTACCTGTACTGTCATGAATGGTAAGATTTCATTCTTCATTATGGCTGACTAATATCCTATTGTATAGATGTACCACTTCTTCCTTATCCATTTGTCTATGGGCACTTGGATCATTACTATATTTTTGTTATTACAGATAACTCTGAAATGAACATAGAGGTACATATCTTTTCTAATTAGTGTTTTGGAATTTTTTGGATATATGGAAATAGACAAAGGTAGGTTTACAGTTGTAATACAAATAAATGATACAATAGTTAATAAAAATAATACAAGAATAAGCTTGCTTTACATCTTCGCAACTGTAAACCTACTCTTGCCTACCCTGCATATCTAGAAGAGGAACTGCTGGACCATAAGGTTGTTCTATTTTTAATTTATTGAGGAACCTTCATACAGTTTTCCAAAGTGGTTGCACCAATTTACAACCTGCCTATGGTGCACTAGGGTTTCCCTTTTGCCCCATCCTTGCCAACACTTGCTGCTTGTTGATTTATTGGTGATAGCCATCCCACAGGTGTAAGGTTAGTTCCGATTAGTGGCCTTGAGCATCTTTTCATATTCAGATCATCTGAATATGGAGAAGTGTCTATTCAGGTCCTTTGTCTAGTTTTAAATTGGATCGTTCATTTTTGGGGTATTGAGCTGTCTGACTTTTTAAAAAGATTTTATTTATTTGTTTGTTTGTTTGTTTATTTATTTATTTCCTTTTTGAGGTTTAGAGGAGAAGTAAGAGAGAAAGAGAGGGAGAGAAACACTGATGTGGGCGAGGGGCATTGATTGGTGGCCTCTTTGCACACCCCCAACCATCTTATAATTTGTCTGAGTACAAGTCTTTTACCTTATTGGTGACTTTATTTCTAGGTATTTTATCTTTCTGGCACAGTTGTAAATGAGATTGTTTTCTTAATTTCTCTTTCTGATACTTCATTATTGCTGTATAAAAATGCAACGGATTTCCAAATTTTTATGTTGTGTCCTGCTACTTTCCTGGGTTTGTATACCAGTTCTAGAAGTTCTTTGGTGTAATCTCCAGAGTTCTCTATATGTAGTATCTTGTCACCTATAAGTAATGACCATTTACTTCTTTCTTTCAAATTTGGATGCCATTTATTTCTTCTTCTTGTTTGAATGCTGAGGCCACCACTCCCAACACTATGTTGAATAAAAGCAATGAAAGTGACCACCCCGCTTCTCCTCCCCTACACTCAGAACCTTCCTGAACATTTATTTTTTATGTAGAATTGTTTTAATGTGACTTCCTGAACATCAGGACATTCCACCATGAGTATATCAAATGAACCTTAAAAAAGAAAAAAAAGCATTTTCCTATGTAATTAAAATAACATTTTCTCACTTAAAATGTTGCTTTAAATCTTTTGTAGTACCTAATAACAAGTCCGCATTTAATTCCTCTAAATGTCCCCCAAACCGTATATAATTACAAAACAGAATCCAATCTGAGATCACACACTGCACTGATTTAAGTCCCTTTTAGTCTGGTTAGTCATATTTTAACAGCACTGCCTTGCGGATAAGACCGGCTCACAGTGATTTATCTGCTGGTTGCTTATAGCAACATTTACCTTCTCCTGCAAGTTGGAGATTAGATATAAAGGCTTGATTAGATCTGAACCTTTTTGGCTACTATACACCTAGATGATGTGCTTTACTTCATATTGCATTTTGTCATGACTCGTGACATCTGGCTGTCCACCAGTGGAATATTGAGAGAGACCACAGTGGGTGGGGACTGATGCCCCTCATTAGTGTTAGTGTTACTGTGGCCCCCCACAGGTGTCCAGTGCCCACCCAATCATTCTTTTCTGGGGGCAACACCAATCCCTTACTTGAATCAATAATTGGACTATTTCAGAATGATTATTTTATTATTTTTAAATTTTATCATTACTATATGTTGATTGAGGCATTCCTCATTAGCTGGTGCTACCTGGTTACCCTGATAGGAAAGAAAAAATATCATTCTTCCTCCATCCTCTTAGATCCTTGGCTGAGACCTCCCTGTAATAAAAAGACAGATCAACAGGAGAAAAAACAGCCAAAGTTTAACAACATGTATACCTCCTGTATACATGCTAGACATCCAGGAAAACTCAGTAACTCTCTGAAATGGCCCATGCCACCACCTTAAAAATCATCTCTAGCTAAGATAAAGAAGATGTAGATGGGGTAGGGGAGCCAGTTATCAAGCAAAAAAAACAAAACAAAACAGTAAATGGGTGGATTTGAAAAGCTACCTTCTCCACTGGTAAGAGTTAGCCACCCTCCTCTTCCTGCTGTAGGAGTCAAACTAATGCCCATACTCCCTTGCTTTTCTACATAATAATATATCTTGAAAAATCTCTCCACAATGGTGTCTTTCCCTTCCTTCCTTCCTTCCTTCCTTCCTTCCTTCCTTCCTTCCTTCCTTCCTTCCTTCCTTCCTTCCTTCCTTTCTTTCTTTCTTTCTTTCTTTCTTTCTTTCTTTCTTTCTTTCTTTCTTTCTTTCTTTCTTTCTTTCTTTCTTTCTTTCTTTCTTTCTTTCTCTCTCTCTCTCACCTGAGGAATATGTTCATTGATTTTAGAGTCAGAGGAAGGGGAGGGGAGACAGAGAGAGAGAGACATCAAAGTGAAAGAGAAACGTTGATTGGTTGCCTCCCGTGCACACCCTGACTGAGGATCAAACCCGCATCCTAGGTACGTGCCCTGACCAGGGGTCAGACTGCAGCTGTTTGGTGCATGGGACCGCCCTCCAACCAACTGAGCCACCGGGCCAGGATTCTACCTTTTTCTAACTTCGTATTGAGTTCCCTGATCCAGCATCTTTTGAATCGTCTCTCTCTGTTTAGGGACTATGTAGCTCCACAAGTGTAGATAAAGGCAAGGAAAAAGTATTCTCAGGCCCTGCCCTGTCTCCTCCCACAGGATGGTGGCAGCAGGGCAAACAGCAGCGTCTGGCACTCTGCAGGTAGCAGTCATGGGGATGCCTTGTCAGGCCCCATCTACAGTGATCTTTGCGACCTTGTTCCCAGAAAGCCTTGAGTCTGCTTTTCCAGACCATCCAACATTTCCCTGGGCTGCCTGGGATCCTTCAATAAACACCTTTATCTGTTTAATGGGCCAGAGTATACCTTTCTGGCTCTCAAATAGAAGACGTGACCTAAATATTCTTTGTAAACAATACTAAATATAGAGAGTGAGAAAAAAGGAGTGTGCCATCTGTTTTTACTTTACCTGTAATAAATTATCTTTGACCTCCTCTCTCTTAGCTTGTCTTCAACATGTCTTTTATCTTCATTATTTTGCTTTAAAATGTACAAAAAACAAAAGAAAATAAAAAAGCAATCAAGTTTTGAATTCTGCGTTTTTCTTTTTCCTTATGCACCAGGATTAAAATTGAAGATACTAAACTGAAGTTCAGCCCTCCGCCCAACACCAGCATTTCCCATTACCCATCACCCTTCCCTCTCGTTCCGTGTGAGATGGCACACAAGGAGGCATGGCACAGAGAGGAGGGTTAAATTGTTGGCTTTGGGTTCCTGCAGAGATTCTTGTAAACTTCCCTCAGCTGTGGAGACATTCATCTTTAAACCTTGATTTTCAATGTCAAAAGCCAGATATCTAAATCTAATAAGGAATTTGGTTAGTTGGTTTTCAGATGTCCAAACATACTATCTTTGAATATGTAGGGGCAGAAAAACTTCCCCTTCTTCCCTTCTAGGTTCTTTTAGCTGGTCTAATAATCAAATTGACATAGGGTAGGCTAACAGGAGAAAAATAAATTTAATTACATATGTACAGAGCCCCATAATGACATGAGACTCAAAGGCAGTCAGGCACCTGAAGCTAACGTATCTCCCTGAGCTGAAGAGAATGGGGTTGGGTCTGGGGCCCATGGGGCAGGAAGGCAGCGCATGGAAAGGTGAGGCGAGCTAGTGTTCGGGGAACAGTTATTTGTGCTGACAGGCAGATGAGTCTTTCTGATTAAAAAGGTTATTTCTGGTACAGCTCTCTTGCTCGTACAGGCCTCTACTTGTTTAGGCAGTTAAGAGGGAGGTAAAAAACTTTTTCTGAATCTGCTGGGTCTTAATTGCCTTCCACTTCCAATAATCAATATGCCAAAGTGACACATTTTGAGGTGTCTTCCCAAATATTCTACTCCCCCTCAAATATAAAGAACAAAACCAGGAGAACTCGCATCCTAATGTTTATGCCAAAACATAGAGCAGAGAAGAGTGAAGGATATCCTTTGGAAGGGCTGGGTTTGTCTCCCACTCCTAAGGGAGCTGAGGCTGGGTGGGTAAGTGGACCAGGAGAAGCCTTGCAGTGATGGAGGAGGATAGGAGAGAGCTCTGCAGATCTGGCTGTCCAAGAGCAAAGGGGCACAGCAGAAGCAGTCAGTAAGGGACTACCAGAACAATTAACAGCATAAGTGTCTACAGAGAAGTGACCACATGACGTTCAAGTTAGGGATCTTGACCCTTGCCTGCCTGTAATACCACAGTCCTAGTTACGTATCACGTAGCTCACTGCCTGGACTATGCAAGCTCAACACCAACGTTGCTCACTATTATTTTGAATAGGCAGGAGCACTCTTCAGATGGTTTTGGAATCAAGCACTTACCCAGTTACTACTGAAAGGAGGGACTGGCTCATTCCCCAAGAGAACAGTGCGCAGAAGTGCTCTGGGCACATGGAGACCTTTCCGGAGGGTCAGAGTAGGGAATGCAGTGCTACACTGGATTCCAGGAAGCCGGGAACTCTGCACTTTGCTGGCGACTCCGGCAGTCTCTGATGTCAAAGGAGCTGCGGTCAGGCGGCATGGATTCAGGGAAGGGGAGCAGGGAAAGGGATGCTCTAGGCCTGTGGCCAAGAGAGAAGGCTTGGTTATCCCAACATCGTGAACGCTCAGAGACCAGTCTGGGTAGAGCATAACGTGATCTAGCAAGGCTGGTAACCAGGGACTTAATTTTCTGCTCTTTCCCTTGTGCTCTTCTCTGGCAGAGGTGTGCTTCCCATAACTCCTCCATTTCTGCCTAACTCTCCCCCTGAGCCTCTTACTTCTGTCTTTCATCTCTTGATTCTTAACCACCAATCTGTAAGGCCTCAGGCTGCTTTTCATAGTTAACATACAAGTTTACTTTAAGAATGTGTGAGGATTTGTGCTCCTTTCCTTATAATAGGATGTAAACTCCTTTAAGGCAGGAGTCCATCTTACATTATGTAAGGAGACACCTTACATTATATGCTATGCAAACAGAGGAGAATTTTCAAACGTTAACAGACTGACATCAGTTCTGACGACAATGCCCCGGCTCTGTCCTCAGCATCGCAGCTGAAAATATCAAATAGCACTAGATGTTCCAAATGTGTTTGTTTTTCTTTCCCAAGCAGACTAGATGGCATTTTCTTAAGCAATGTCACCTTACTGGCTCACCAAACCATGACCTTGTCCAACAGATTTGTCTGGCACATGACATCATAGAAGCTGGAGCTGATACTTTCAAATGAAACAGGATTTCTGGCTTTCCCTGTGGGCTCAAAGTATTTGGGTGTTTGTTTAGGTTTTCCTAGCTTTTTTTCCACATTTCATTTTATTAAAAACTTTGCAATGACTAGCAAATTAATGAACTTTAACATGATACTATATGTATAACACCTAACGCAGCTTTTATCAAGCAAGCGCTCCCACTGTGAGCTGTTCTTATTACCCGGTCACAGAGAAACATCTCATTCCTCCTTCTGTAATGCAACCACAGGCCACGTGGAAAGTGATGTTTGGGTTGCTGGACATACCCCACCATTCTCCCTGCATTTCCTACTTTCTCCAGTGGCGACAAATATTAGCACAGGAAGAACTGCATGAAAAGAGACTGCGCCTTCTTTGTGCTATTCACAGCCTCTGTTACCCAGAAAGGACTGGCTTTGTGTCCTGTTTCCTCAGGGACATTTTGCACAGCTACATTCAGTGTGACTGTTAGCAGTCATGGCAGGGAATTTTTTATTCAGCCAAAAGTAGACACCCACACAATCTTAAAACTTGACGAGGAAGCTAAAGCCTCTCTTGAAAAAATTATATGCAAGACATTTACCATCCTTTTGAGTAGTCTACTCACTCTGAATGGATCTCTAAGGATACTGTTTAAGTCTGTAAAATGTATAGGAGACAATTTCTTGTATGAACATGCTTCTCCTTCAGCCAACAAAGTAGTGACACTTTTTCCTGGCGGGGAACTTTAAATGAGGACATGCAATATCAGTGTGTGCCTCACCCAGGGGTTCTCAAATTTTCATCTACATCAGACTCACTCAGGAACTACAAGAAAAGTCAAATCCAGGCCTCTCCATTCCCAGGCCCTCCTGTACACACAGATTCTCATTTAATAGGTCACCCAGGAATCTGCCTTTTTAACTGGTGCACCAGGTGGCTCACTGGCAGGTGGTGCAGAGATTGCAATTTGAGAGCCACTGATAAAGCCCATTCACAGTCTTTCATGCAACGAGTATTTACGGAGTACTCAAGATAAAACTGGGGACCATGAACAAAGCTGTGTACATAGCGTGTTAGAAGGATAAAGAACACTGATGAAATAGAGTTTTCAAAGCATGTTCCCATCCATCATTTCCCGTCCCTATGAGAAAGGCAGAGTAGCAATTAGTATTTCCATTTCACATGCACACACACAAACTTAAGTAATTTCCCCAAGTTTCTATGGCTACTAGATGGCAGACATGGCTAACATCCAGAATTTTTGATGGCTGGGGCTGACAGAAAGAAAGCTATAATCGTAACTACACTACCCTTCCCCTACGAAATACAAAAGCTGTGCTTACACAAATGTGCATTGCTCTGTTCATCCTAGGGAAAAATGAGAAGCAACCTAAACCTTCATCAGTAGGAGCCCGGTTTTTAAAAAAACAATAATCATGTGCCCGTACAGTGGAATATTTTGAAGTCTTCAAAAAGGAAAAGATCTCTATTAACATAGAACAATACTTTCTTTTGTGCAAAAAAGTTATACACAAGTTTAAAATTCTGAAAGGCCATTTGCTTCTGAGAGAGAGAGAGAGAGAGAGAGAGAGAGAGAGAGTTGTAATAGGTATGGATTACAGCTATATTCCTTGGCACCCTGGTGAACAGGTGCTGTTGGACCACATTAATCAGTAGAGATTTCACTGGACCCTCTATGGAACAGTGCATGAGAGGTTATTTCTCTGAATAAAGTTGCATTTGAATTCGAGAAGCATCTGGCAGAGAAAGAAATCACTGCATTGGGGATGATGGACATTGGCCAGGGGCTTTTCTTCTTAGACTCACAACTCTGTCCTTAACTATAATGATAATATTTATTATTTTATTTCATAAGATATAACAGTATAATATAAATGCATGTGTCTAACACAGTAAATAATAAAGGTGTTAGTTTATGAGTCAAATATTATGAAAACAATATCTAATAATTTTAAAATAATCATTGTTATACATTTGTCAAAGGGAAGGCTTTTAGCAATTTTCTTGCAGAAGGTAAATCTTCGAGTCTTGAAGGGCAAGAAACAAAGAACATATTTCAAAAAAATAAAAGTTTACTAACTCAAAACTACAGAGGACATTAGGATGATATTTTATTAATGTTTCTTGCATGCTTTTCAGAATTGAGTAGTGTGTATTACCAATACCATTCTACTTTCAACCAATTACTGTGTGCCCTCCTGGGCAGGCCCTCGGGGCGAGGGTGACAAGACAGACTGCCTGCCTCTGAGAGACAGCAGTCTTGCCCTTTATTTTTCAGTCTGCAATAAATTCTGATCAAAGTGGAACAAGCATAGGCGCATTCCTCAAATGATGGGCCTTTGTCTGCAAAAAGGCTCTTGGCTGGCAGACTAGTGTCTTTAGTGTCTGGTTTATTATTTTTTCAACAAGATGAAATGCTTTTTATGCTCATCAGTACTAAAATTTAGGGTTTTTTTAAACAAAAGACTATTTTTATTGTTTTTACTCTACTCATGAAAAAAATAAAGCCTGAAGGAAAATAATATTTAGTCCCCATAAGCGTAGCTTGTGGCACTTCTAGGTCGTGCCCCCACCCGCATTCATTAAAAATCTGACAGAAGCAAGAGACTGTCCTGCATATGAACACAGGCACGTGCCCACGAAGCAGAGTGGAAAATTTCAGGAGCTCACCCATCCCAAAACCCATCCACGGACACCAGTTAATCAAGCCTGGTCTAGAACTTTGTTCTTTTCCAATGCAAACCTGGCACTATTTATTCAGCAAATATTTTCAGAGCACCTGCACTGTGAGAAAGCGCTTATGTTAGAAGCGGCAAAGCAATCCGTGTTTACCAGGCCCTCTGGGTGACGCTGACGCAGGTTAAAGTTTGAGATCCAATGGCCTAAACCGAAATATGCTCTCCTTAAGCCCTGATCCATGGATGTTTTGATTTATTTGGTCCTGTGTAGGGGCCGACATTGTGTTTAAGCCCTCTCTAGGAAATTCTCACAGGCAGCCATAGTTGAGACTTGTTGGTTTAAATACCGGAAATGTGATTTCTGGTTCCTGATAAGCATTTATAGTCACAAAAGGAAGAAAATCTGTTATATGCACCTATGTATCTATGGCTCCCAGCATGCACAGTGGCCCTAGGCTGGGGGCTCTGAAGGGGTCCGGTAGGACAGGCAGTCCTGCTTCATCCAGGAGGGCACTCTGGGAGCTGTGGTCCGACACCCCACCTTCCCTTTGGCGGACTTACTGTTCAAGAACAGGAGCTCCAAATCCTGCTTTCCAGTTAATTAATAAATATTAATTTCTCTTTTAGAGTTGTTTTAATGAAAAGGACAAGCCACAACCTCCAAGTGATCTGTATGAAACTAGAGGATAGGAAACTCATTCCTGGGGTGGAGGCTTCAACTTCCAATTGCTTTCCTTAGGGACAAATAGATCAATTTTTGTTACTGATCAGCCAGTCTGCTAACAATTTCTGTTAAGACACCTATTTCACAAGTAACGGAGCAATCTTTTTTTTTTGAAGAGTTCGAAGTCTTTTGATTTACATGAGAGACAATTTTTGCAAGTCACTGTCCTCTGGAAAAGCTGCATGGAGTCTCTAACACCAGAGAAAAGCAACTGCCTTGCCCAGTTGAGGGGTTTTAATTTAATAATGAAATACACATATAATTTTTAAAATAATAAATGCACCATTTTATTGAGCATTTATCATAAATGAGTACCATCAGATTGGATATATTACATACACTAGTCAATATAGTCTTTACGGGAATCATTCAGTTATTATTATTCCCATTTTGTAGATGTTGTTCAAAGTCAAATACTCAGGATTCCGAACCAGACCTTTCTGACTCCGGAACCTATGGACTTCCCACCACATCGCACTATCTTCCATCCTATTATAACACAGTGAGTCCTATCATTCATATGCTTCATAAGTTACCATGAGCAAAGACTCCCATGACGGAACTCCAAACGCCTTTCACAAAGGAACATTTAAAATGACTGAGAAGGCAGTTGCCCAGTGCTAATTATCTCTACCTGCTCCCATTCCTATGAGAGCTGCCTTTGCTTTAAGCTGGCACCATACTCTAATTCAATATTGGATTCACTTTGGCGGTTGCATGAGCGCCTGAGAATGGATTAGCTTATTCACATGGTCATCTATTATTGTATTCAAGCAACGCAGAGTGATATACTGCTCTAAGATGACCTGTTGTCTAGGTGAAGAGAAGCTAACCATGTTTAAGAAAGACACTATCCACATGGGGCCTGATGAATGTGATATTACTTTATGTTAAGGAGAATAAACAGACTTTCTCAAATCTTTACTTGGTTCAGTTACATGATCCTGACAGGACCTGTGGGAAGAGAGAGTTTTAGACAAAAAGAATTTTGGTACACGTGCTATTTAACAACATCCTGATTCTTCCGAGTGCGTGTTAATCATTATAATGACTTATTTGGCTTGTAACATACTCATACTGTGTTCCATAGGCATAAACAATAGATGTGGAGTCTTTCTTTCTTTTTTTACAATTTTATTTATTTTATTTTATTTTAGAGAGAGGGGAAGAGAGGGAGAAAGAGAGAGATACATCAATGTGTGGTTGCCTCTCCTACACCCCCTACTAGAGACCTGGCTGGCAACCAAGCATGTACCCTGGCTGGGAATCCAACCAGTGGCCCTTTGGTTTGCAGGCCAGCACTCAATCCACTGAGCCATACCAGCTAGGGCTGTAGTGTTTTTTTTAAAAGAATATCCTTATCCATCCATTTTAGAAGCCTGAAGGACTGCTTTGAAAAACGCTATAAAGACATTAGAAGTCTTTTGGGCCCACAGGGTTAATTAATCATTCAGTTCTACGTGGAGTAAAGAAACAATTGTGTGTGTAGTAAGGTACAGTTCTGTAATCCACCCATAAGCCTATTTCAGACCCTTGTGTTACAAATTTGATTTATGAAGGATAATAATAATTTTTAACTGTTAGCTTTATCATATTGGATTAGAGAAGTACATTTCATCATAAGAAAAAAAAGAATGAAAAAAGATCAGCTTACAGCAAAAGGAAAGTTTCAGTCAACACTGATAAAAATAACTTAGGTCCTTGTTCCTGGTTTTCTTACCACAACCATGGTCCCTAAATGCTCAGGCCTCATGTTGGCCTAGAAGTGCCCAATTCTCAAGAAAGAGATGACATTGTGCTTGTTAGAAATATCACTTTCTCCATCCACAAATGAACATTGATTTATTACATTAATAGACCTTTTCAGAAAATTGGAGATTTTAATCTATAAAATATTTATCTGGTCAAGCACAAGTAAAAAGAGAGATGCTTAACTCAGCACATGATGTATCTAATGCCATTGTCATTCATTTGCATTTTATTTATGGAAAAGCAGATGTTAAAACTCTGGAAGTCTAATACAGTATTTTTAATAGCAGTGAAGAGGAAACAATCTAAATATTCATCATTCAAATAAATTATTGTACAATCATTTGCCTGTAATGCTCTTTAGGAGCATTAGAGGCATCTTCAAAAAATTTTAGCAATATGGGAAATGTTTAGAAAATAATTCTGAGAGAAATAAAGGTATAAAATTGTTCTCAATGAACAAAACATGTAAATACATAAAACATTAGAAAGTAATACAGTAGAATATTAGCAGTGTTTTTATATGGGAGGTAGGGTTATGAGTAATGTTTACTTTATTATTTTTCTAAATAAATATTACACATTTTACTTTATTATTTTCCTAAATAAATATTATACACTGGGCATATATTAATGCTTAATAAAATATTATTTTGGTCTATCAGCAGGATAAAAAAGTAAAATTTTTGAGGGATCTGACAAATCATTCAGTGAGTAACAAAAAGTTGCCTGAGTGAAATGATACATGTCCCCAATCAGTCTCATTAGAGATATTCATGTTTGGATGTCAAATTTTCATGAAAATATGTCTGTTTTTCAGAAAACCACAGGTTACTCACATCTGTCCTTGGGAGTCTGGTCTTAAAAGATATTGGTTTGTGTGTAAGCATTGTTTTCATGAAAGAAATAGAAAGAAAGATGCCTGGTGCAAAGCATGTTCTCAAATTTGTTGAATAAATGAATAAATGAGTAGGAGATGATTTCTTAGATTGTGACGTGTGAAGAGGTCACCATTTACCCACTTTCTGTTACCACTGCCATCTTGAATTTTTTTTACTCAACCAGAAAGTATGTTTATGAACATTTTTCCTATGAATATTTTAAGCATAATTTTCTCCAAGCCTTCTCTAGGAGGATTAGTTTTACTTGCTTATAACAGCATTATGAAATCAACTAATAATAAAACTACATGTGTCTTAATGAGGGTGTGATTTTTTTCTGCCAATATAAAAAAGAAAGCATCAGACTTTGAACTTCCATGCAATTCTATGAAACCCTTGAAAACAGTAGAGGCTCCTCCCAGCAGCACATAGCTTTCTGGGTCTTCCCTTGTAATAGAATTTGGTAACCAAGTCCATGGACATTTCACAGTAAATACCACTCACAGCTCTGCTTCGAGCTGCTCTGTTGGCAAACCCTTTGAAACTCTGGAGGTACCAGGCTCAGAAGCTGGACCTCAGTGGGAAGGAAAAGCAATGGATATTCCCAAATCTGAGAAGAGAACAGCATCTAGGTCCACCCAACTAAGCACTTACCCTTAACAAAATCTGAATTTTGATCCTCTTGGCACTTTGTATCTCTTCACCAGTCTCTGCTTGGCATTGAGTCTCACAACCAGTTTAGAGACCTTTTCCAACAGATACAAATGAATCAGCCCATGGCATTTCAAGAAAAGGGGGTACACACAAATATTTTAAATTATTATTTGACTGTTTTTCCCCATGCTTTGAGACTATGAAGAATTTGAGGATGCGTTCAGGTAACACATACATTTATGTAACATAAATTACATAAATGAGGATCAGATAAAATGAAATAAACACACACGCACACTCAGGTAATACCATCCAACATAACTGGCTACAGGTGGGACACAAATTTGGCTTTGAGCTTCTTGGAAAACATAGCCCCAAAGAAAAGTCAGTTGCATTAGTATTCATTGTCCAAAGGGAGGGAATTTAGTTTTTCTGGCTAAGCAAAGATTTTATAGCACTCAGTTCTGAAAGAAATTACTCAGAGAACAGCATATAAGAAACCTTAAGTGCAGGTTGGGGCAAAAGTAGGTTTAAAGTTGTGAATATGCAAAACAGAGTTTATTCTTGCATTATTCTTTATTAATTATGTTATTGTCTATAAAACTGTTTAACCTACTTTTGCCCCACCCTGTACATCATATATAAGGATCTCAGTCACATTCCCACAGCAAATACAGACATACAACCCATATCCGTTTCTTGTAGTCTTTCCAAAAATATACATTTCTTTTTTTCAAAGATTTTATTTTTGTTTCTAGAGAGAGTGGGAGGGAGAGAGAAAGACAGGGAGGGAACCATCAATCAGTTACCTCTTACATGCACCCCAACTGGGGACCAAACCCCCAACTCAGGCCTGTGCCTTGAGTGGGAATCAAACTGGGGGCCTTTCACTTTGTGGGACAACATGCAACCAGCTGAGCCACACCAATCAGGACCCCAAAACATACATTTTATGATACTAAAAAGAAACCCAGGGAGATCAGTCTGCAGTGAATCAAAACAGAGCCCAAGGATGTCACTTGCCTGGATTTTTTTTTAAACTCTGAATTAAGCCTACACTAAAAAATCAGAATGGATGGATTACATCACCTTAGTTCATTTATCTGTCTACATGTAAGGGTAAAGTGTCGCTGAATGAAGTAATTTCCAGCCTAATACTTTAGGATTAACCAAAGTTGGCGTTGCTATTCTTTGATAAAATAAAGGGTTATAAACCAATCCACCCTAATGAACATTCTACCTTGCTGACAAAGGTTTCTGCAAACAGTGAGAGTTTTGTTCACACAACAATTTTGGGACTCCTTTTGAAACAAATTGTCTTAAAGTGCATTTTTAAGAGTATCAATTTATAGCATTTGATGTTTGTATAGGGGAAACCTGTAACTACATAGAACAAAAAATTGATATTCTCCAGTGAAATAATAATATTTGGACTAAAAATCAGTCTGCTCAAAGTTCACTTCATCAGTTACATCGAGGCCTTGGGCAAGTTAACCAAAGTCTGTGAGTTCACTTCCAGTTGCAAAAGTTGGAATACATGACCAAAG